TCCCCTGGCAATATGGGTCCCACTGAGAGGCATGATGGACTGGGGGCACATAGCCACACCACCCTGGACAAAATAAAAGCTTAGCTATGGATACTGCCTCTGCATACCTTGACCCAAAAAATGGGGAATATAAACTAAAAAATTAAAATCCAAAGCCCTCCAGCAGACTGAATGTATCCACCTCTTGGCCAAAGGGAATCCCAAAGAAACCTGAAAAACTAGTGCAGGCCATTATGAAAAGCAGAGGCTTGGACACGCCACACTATACCTTCCCCCACTTTGGAGTTTAGACACAAATGACCAGCATTAACATTAAAATAGAAATCGTAAGACTGACAGGATAGACTCTTTGTAGCAATCAGATATACACTGTTTTGTTTCATTCACTAACAAAGACTCTCCAGAAGCTCAGCAAACCTGCTAATGCTGCAAAGCTTTCCCAAATTCATTTTATTCTAGAGTTTCCTGTATGAAATCTCTCATGTTAAATAAGAATTTGGACTGAACTGTTATTCCCTTATAGCTATAGTCTTCTGTTCTCTCTTTATATAAGTCCTCGTATTTCTTGTCAAGGATATTGTCAGATCTTTTATGGCTTGGGTTGGGTTGGAACTGTGAGTGGGCTCATTTAAAAATCCTATTTTCTAACTAGTTATTGCTGGCATTTTTAAAAAATAAACATTTCTTTCATTACTGTATCCAACCATTCTCTAATTCTTTATTAATATACTAAAGATTGTAATAATTGGATCACTTCCTAATAGCTACAACTCTTATTTCTATTTCATGTTTTAATTGCTTAATTGGAACTTTCAAAACTATATTTCATTTTAATAATAACGGCAGGCAGCTTTGGTATTTTTCCCCCAAGGATGGAAATGCCTCTACTATTTCATTGCTAGTTATTATACTAGTTTGAGACAAATAGAAGCATTCTTTTCCTTGTTTTGAAATACAAAAACAAATGGCATTTTATTTAAAAACTTCTAGCATTTACTAAAGTGAATTTTAAAAATATATATTGGATCTATTAATATATTACCCACTAGCCAAAGGGATTTGGGCATTGAAACCTGCCTATAAATGACTCAAAAGAGAAATCCAGGATGAAAATGTAAACTTGTGTGTCGTCAATATACAGACTGAATACAGATATCCTCCATATGACTGGAGGATATCACCTAAGCAGTGGGTACACATACTGAAAATGTCAGAGGGCTGAGCCCTGGGGCACCACAAAGTTTTAGAAATCAGGAAGATAAAAAGAAATGATGAGTGCCTAGTAGGTAGGAAAACAGCCAAGAGAATGTGGTATCCTAGAAGCCACTTGAACAAAGGGTTTTCAGGATGAGGTCATGATCAGTTGTAGGTCAAGTAACTGATGACTTAGAGCTTACACTGGTTTTAGCAAACTGGAAATCACTGGTGACCTTGACAAGAGCAGTTCAGTTGATTGAAGTTTAAACTTCTTATTGGAGTGAGTTCAAGGGAGAATGAGTCAAAATCATGCATGTATTGGGCAAATCTAACCACTTCAATATCTAGATGAGAAAATGTCCCAGAACCTCAGTAAACCAAGATTCTCTTCTTTAGAGGAAAAACTCTGAGGAGCAAATTTAAGCTTAAAAAGCAAAAAGAAGTAGAGACCGAGTATAGAATTTGATGCCAGAAGGTCTGGATTGAACTCCAGGTCTATCACATACCACCTGTGTAACCTTGAGAAAGCCATTTAGAATTCTGGAGTCTTTTTTTTAAATTTTTTTATTTTAAGACTGAGTCTTGCTCTTGTCACCCAGGCTGGAGTGCAATGGAACAATCTTGGGTCACTGCAACCTCCACCTCCTGGGTTCAAGAAATTCTCCTGCCTCAACCTCCCAAGTACCTAGAATTACAGGCACCCACTACCACACCCAGTTAATTTCTTTTATATTTTTAGTAGAGACAGGGTTTCACCATGTTGGCCAGGCTAGTCTCGAACTCCTGACCTCAGCTGATCTGCCTGCCTTGGCCTCCCAAAGTGCTGGGATTACAGATGTGAGCTGCCACACCCAGCCTCCATTTTTTAATCTATAAAATGGAGGTAATGATACTATCTTCAAAGGGTAGTTTTGAGGTTTCAATCATTAAAAAAAAATGTACTTAAAGCTCTACACAAATACTAATTCTTTTTACTTAAAAAATAAGTCACCTGAACATTTTGTTTATCATTTTCTTATTACTAAACTTTGTTGTAAAATTCAAATTAAAACATAAAATCAAATTTTCTACATATAGTTTCCTATGAATCCTAAATGGCTTCAAGAGGTGACTTTGAGAATATAAAGCTCTTTGGAGTTGTCTGTGTTTAATGTTTACGTAAAAATTAGTCCAGTGAAAAGCAAGATTAAACAATAAGCAGATGAGAAAGTGGAAATAAAAACCACTCTTTTGAAGACTTTTGCTATAAAGGAGGCAGGGACAGGGGATGCTAGTTGAAGGGGAAAAGTGAGACCAAAAGAAGCCTATCATTTGTTCTTTAGGTAAAATAAATTCAGCATGTTTGTCTGCTGCGAGGAATGATCCAGCAGAGCAGGGAAAACAGGGCCATCACTAGAGTAATATCCTTGAGTAGGTGCGAGTAGATAGGATCTACTGCACAATGGGAGGAGATAACCTGAGACAAGAATAAGGATAGACCATGCATAGGAACAAGAGGAAAGAGGATGTGCAAGGGTGCAGGTGGATGGGTAGCTTTGTGGGTAGAAACATGCAGAAGTCCTCTTCTGATTGCTTCTCTTTTCTTTGAAAGAGGAGGGTAAGCTCAGTACCTGAGAGTATGAATGAGTGGAGAGGTGGTGGAGATTTCAGAAGAGAGCAAAAAGGGTGAAAAAATTACCTGAACAGTGAACATACCCACAGTTGTTTTGTGTGCACATATTTCCAATAATAAATTCATTTTCAAACACCTTAATGTTGCTCCACTACCTTCAGGATAAATGTAAATTCATTAGCATCAAGCAATCTTCTTGATTTCTTCCTTCATAAACTTTAATCTCATCTCCTAATGCATTCTCATTATGACCTATGTTCCATTTTTATCAATTACTTAGCATATTCTCCAAATGGCTTTATGTTTTTGCTCCTTTGGCAGATTGTGTTTTCCAAAGATGACTGCAATAATATATTCCATCCCATGTGTTGCTCTGTAATGCGACCCTTAAAAGCAGTCTAGTTCTCCACTCCCTTGAATCTGTGACTATTATGACCAATAGAATACAGTGGATAGACCTCTGCACCAGTTCTAGTAGTAGCCCTTGACTGGCCTGGCAGTCTCTACTTGTGTCCTTTGGAATGCTTCCTCTTGGGATTCATCCTCTTGGAACCTAACCACCATCCTGTGAGAAGAAAAAGGTACAAGAGGCATTTTTGACAGGCAGCCCTGGCTGAGCTTTCATTTAAAGCCAGTGTCAGACCAGCACACTTGAATCTTCAGTATACCTGACTGTAACCGAACAAGAGACCCCAATCAACAACCATCCAGTTGAACCACAGTTAATCCACAGAATTATAAGAGATAATTTGTTATTTTAAGCTACTAAATTATAGGGTGGTTTGCTATGTAGCAATAGACAAGCAGAACTGTTTTGAGTATGATATAGAATGCAGTTGTATTATCATTTACTAAAGGCATGGTAAATAGATGATCTAGGATCAAGTCATGGCTGTGCCACTCCCTGGCTATTTGACCGTAGAGGTTATTTGTATTCCTGGATTTCATTCTTCCATAAATGGGGATAATAACTACCTCACCTGACAGAGTCCCTGGCTTTAAAGGAGTAAATGTTTCTGCCCTTCACCTTCGGCATTACTTTTGGCCCACTGAGGAAAGAACTTCCTTTCCTATCATTCTGACCCTTTCTCTTGATACCCACATACTAGCTCCTTGAGAACTGCTACTAGTACAACTTGCTGAGCCACGTTTTACTAGTGTGCACAGTTAATGCACTGCATGTGTACCTGTGAGCGTGCCTTGTTTTCTCTGTAACTGGGTACATGAGGAAGTTCCAGCCACCATGCCAATGCGACTATTTGATAAGTACACTCAGAGCCTGCCCCCAGTTATATCTAAGATATAGATATGGAGATAGAGGAAGCTGCTTCAGCCTTGGGACAAAGCAGTATTCTCCAACTAAGCTTTAACAAAACTTTGGGTACTTACAGAAAGTGGCATTGTATTTCTCATATGGCCACTAATCTTTTTGTTCATGGCTCCCCAAATGAGGAAGAGTATAAATGCCCACCCTGATTACCCTAATAAACTCCTCCTGTTCTTTAGCATTCAGTTCAAGCACTGCCTGTTCTGGAAAGCCTGTCTTTATTACCTCACCTGAATTCTGTTAGGTTTCCCTTACCTAAGTTTCCATTTATCCTTATGTAGAACTTACATCACTTCTCGTATCCACATTCTGGTTTGAGACTTTCTCCCAATAGTCAGTGAACCTCTTCAGAACAGGGAAAACAAAGGTATTCCATTCAAAGTGCTGACATATGGCAGGGTCATATCTTGTATTCATTATTTACATAAATTTTAAGGATATATAAGTGTGTGTTTGGTACACAACATCCCCTACACCAAACACACATTCTTCCAACACAAATAGTCAAAACCTAGATAAGGATTTTAAACATATCCCAAGTCCAGAAGTTAAGATATTAAGAGTATAACTTGAGTTGAATAGAAAACTGATATTTTATTTAATAAATAATATTGATGTCATGTAACAAAGAGTTTGCTAATAAACAGTTTGAACTTGAAAGGTAGAAAAATAATTAAATAGTAATAGGTTTGATATTCTGAAGTACCAGTTTTAAAGCCTCTATCATAAATTACTGTGGCCAAAAAGCAATACTGAAACTTTGGGACTATTATTCAACATATGGAATTTAATGCACTATAGATATCCTGGTAAAATGAACAATAGTTATACAGGAGTCATGTATATAAATATTTACTTATATACCTTCATTGTCAGTATTGAGTTTGGCTTCCAGTTCTGCTGTCTTGTGTCTTAGTTCAAACACTGAGAGTTGTACTGCATCCCTGTTATTTAAAATATTTTTGTTGAGTATGATTCCATTAAAAATAACATGAAAAAAATAATACATAGTAACCCACTACTACTTCAGGAACAAGTTACTATGACACATCATTTACTGAAGTCCTGGTTGAGAAACAAGAATCAGGCAAAGGCAGGCTTCCAATTAGTCAGTCCTAGGACTCAAATATGCACTAAACTCAAAGACCCCCAGGCAACCATTGGAAACCCTTTATTTTTAACTTAAATATCATCCCAAAGAAGTTAGTTATCTGGTTTTTCAGAAACAAGCAAATAAGGCACTGCATATTATTATAGAAAGGCATAGCTAGGTCAATATGTAACAGCTGACAAACTGAAACAGAAAAAAAAAAACACTAATTTAAAAGGTTAGCTATTTAGGACATCAGTAAATAGAACATTACCATAATATGACAGGGTCGTTTATTCAATAAAATTTTTGAATGCCTATTATGTTCAAGGTATTGATTGTAGTAAATACTGAAGAATTCCGTGAACAGTGAACAGACAAACAGCAATAGCAGCCACAAAATTCCACTGGATGCGTATTACCAGCCAATGCTAAGTGCTTTATAGTGCATTTCATTCCAACCTAGGAACAACTGTTGGAGGTTTAAGTATTTGTATACCAGTCTTAGAGCTGAGTAAACTGAGGGTTTAAAGAGGTTAATTAACTTGTCTAAATTGTATAATTACTGACTGACAACAGATGGGGTTTGCATTTATTCAGGATTGTCCTCAAGTACTTGCTCTTATCCTCTAATTCCTCGGAATACACAGAACCTGTCCTCAGAACGCGTGTAGTTTGGTAGCAAAACAAGAAATAGGCAATTAAAATACTGCGACTGGAGCTACAAAAGAGGAAAACCCAGAACGCTATCTAGGCACATAGGAGAGTCCAACTCTCGTGGGACTTGTGGATGGAGTTGAGAGTACGTCCAAAAAATACTTTAACTGTTTCAAAAATTTAATATGAAGTGTGCATACTGTCTTAAAAAGCATAAAGGAGGAGTAACATTTTTAGTACATGTCATTTTATGAAGTTCCCCTTAAAGAGATGGAAAAAAAAAACGCATAACTACATAAAAATTTTTGGAATTCTTTTTTTTTTAGACAGAGTCTCACTCTGTCACCCAGGCTGGAGTGCAGTGGCACAATCTCAGCTCACTGCAACCTCCGCCTCCCGGGTTCAAACAATTCTCTGCCTCAGCCTCCGGAGTGGCTGGGATTACAGGCGCCCACTGCTACACCCGGCTAATTTTTTGTATATTTAGTAGAGATGGGGTTTCACCATCTTGGCCAGGCTGGTCTTGAACTCCTGACCTCGTGATCCACCCGCCTCGGCCTCCCAAAGTGCTGGGATTACAGGCGTGAGCCACCACGCCCGGCCAATTTTTGTAATTTTAAACAGAAAACCTGGATTTATGATAGCATTAAAACCAAACACAACATTTGGCCTTATAGTATATGGGCAAAATACACTCCATGTGATTGGATACTAAGGGCTGGACATCCTACCTCAAAGCTGCCTACTTACAACACCAAAGGCTTAGTCAAAGAGGCACATGGATCTTTCTCATGAACACTTTTGGGACGTCGTCCGACGTGCCCAGGTGTTAATCATGGTGCAGGTCTCACAGCGTCCTCAGCGGCGTCGGCCCTGAGAGACGCTGCAGGGGACGGCTCGGGGGGCGTGGACGGGACCCCACACTGCGCCACCCCCGACTCACTTCTTGCGGATTTCTTCCAGCAACTGCTGTTTCAAGCGGTCGGTGCTCACACTGTTGAAGTTGTCGCCTTTCTCTTCCTCCATAGTACCAGGCTAGAGACCTCCCGTGCCAGTAGAAGACATGAAAGACCACCCGGAAGCGAGCAACGACAGTACAGCACGAGCCCGGCCACCGCTAATTGGCTCAGGGTTGCTGCTCTTGCGCCGGCCCGCTGAGACTTTATGACGTGGTGACGTCATAAAGCAACGCCCGCAGGCAGCAGGCGGCATTCTGGGTAGGCTGGAGCAGAAACGGCCTCTGTCTGTTGGCGCGACGCTGCAGAACAGCTCGAGGGACACTCGTTGCTCGAGACTCCGGGGTTAGATGTTCCTCGGTTACACAGCGGAGTGTCAGGGGTCGTCTGCTTTTTCTGGCCTCCTGCTGGCTTTGGTTATTTCCGAAACATTGCCCTGGGCCGCAAAGTCGGTTTCACTCTTAGCCCTTGTTCAGGAAAGGCTGGATCCAAAAACAGCTGCGCCCTTTCTTTGCTTCAGTTGAACAAGCACTAGAGTCGCTGGTTTGGGAGTGTCTGAGCGGAAGGAGCTGGCCTGATCACGAGGTCACGAAATCGAGACCATCCTGGTCAACATGGTGAAACCCCCGTCTGTACTAAAAATGCAAATAACTAGCTGGGCATGGTGGTGCGTGCCTGTAATCCCAGCTACTCAGGAGGCTGAGGCAGGAGAATTGCCTGAACCCAGGAGGAGGAGGTTGCTGTGAGCCGAGATCACGCCATTGCACTCCAGCCTTGGTAATAAGAGCGGAACTCCGTCTCAAAAAAAAAAAAAAAAAAAAAGGTACCTCCTGAACTAGGGAAGACTGCTCCAGATTGATTTGCATCTGTGTGCTGTTCATGAACATACCTCAGAGCTGCTCACTGCAATTTGAAATTTCATTCTAACCACAAAGTTTGCATCCTACCCTTGATACATCTGAGTTTCCTTGACAAAAAGAGACAAACTCTGTAAAATGCTTGAAGAGATTTATTCTGAGCCAAATATGAGTAACGAATGGCTGGTGACAGCGCTCAGGAGATCCTGAAAACACGTGCTCAAGGTGGTCAGGGTACAGCTTAGTTTTATACATTTTAGGGAGACATGGGACATCAATCAAATACATGTTAAGACGTACATTGGTTCCATCCGGAAAGGCAGGGCAATTGGAAGGGATGGGGGATGTGGGTGGCTTCCAGGTCACAGCTAGATTCAAAGATTTTCTGATTGTCAATTGGTTGAAAGAGTTAAGTTATTGACTTAAGACTTAGGAATGTCGACCAGGCCCGGTGGCTCAGGCCTGTAATCCCACCACTTTGGGAGACAGAGGCCAGCAGATCACTTGAGGTCAGTAGTTCAAGACCAGCCTGGCCAACATGGTGAAACCCCATCTCTACTAAAAATACAAAAATTAGTTGGGCGTGGTGGCACATGCCTGTAATCCCAGCTACTCAGGAGGCTGAGGCAGAAGGATGGCTTAAACCCAGGAGACAGAGGTTGCAGTGAGCAGAGATTGTGCAACTGCACTCCAGCCTGGGCGACAAAATGACTATGTCTCAAATACAAAAAGACTTAAGAATGTCTTTAGACAAGGGTTTGTGGAGACAAAGGTTTTAGTGAGAATGGGATGATTGGTGTGGAAAACACAATTTGGGGTCAGAAGTCTTGTGAATATATACTTTTTGAGTAGAGAGTTTCTGGATGGGAGTAGCATTTGAATAGGTACACTGAGTATAGTACATTGTCTTCTCCAAAGTGGGTGGGCCTCAGACAATTGACTGAAGACGGAATAGAACAAAAAGGCTGACTCCCCACGAGTAAGAGGGAGCTCCTACAGCCAAACTGCTTGAGCTGGAACACTGGTCTTTCCCAGCCTTGGGCTCAGACTGGAACTACACATCAGTTTGCTTGGATCTCCAGCTTGTCAACTGCAGATCTTGAGATTTCTCAGCCTTCGTAATTGTATAGGCAAATTCCTTAATAAATCTCTTATACACACACTCCCTATTAGTTCTGTTTCTGTGAATTACCCTAACATAGAAGGTATGCTTATCAAAATTTTGTCTCGCTGTAAGTCTGAAAGGGCAACTCAGAACCAAGTAAAAATAAAATGAAGTGAATGAAGTGAAAAAGTCTAGATTATGTGATGACATATCCAACCAATAAATGTACAGATACTTTTTTTTTTTTTGAGACAGAGTCTTGTTCTGTCACCCAGGCTGGAGTGCAGTGGTGCAATCTTGGCTCATTGCAACCTCCACCTCCTGGGTTCAAGCAATTTTCCTGCCTCAGCCTCCCAAGTAGCTGGGACTACAGGTGTGTGCCACCACGCCCGGCTAATTTTTTTTTGTAGTTTTAGTAGAGACAGGGTTTCACCAAATTGGTCAGGCTGTTCTTGAACTCCTGATCTCGTGACCTGCCTGCCTCGGACTCCCAAAAAGTGCTGGGATTACAGGCATGAGCCACCGCACCCAGCCCAGAGGATTTCTTAAAAAGGTCTGTTAGCTCACTCATAGGTGGGTGTTGAAAAATGAGAACACATGGACACACGGAGAGGAACATCACACTGGGGACTGTGGGGGGAACTAGGGGAGGGATAACATGGGGAGAAATGCCAGATATGTGATGGGAAGGAAGGCAGCAAACCACATTGCCATATATGTACCTATGCAACAATCTTGCATGTTCTTCACATGTACCCCAAAACCTAAAACACAATAAAATTTTTTAAAATAGCTAATACTCCTTTAAAATCAAGAAATTAAATTATTAGATAATATTTTCTATCCCTACACATTTCAAACAATTCAATAAAATTCCCTAAATGTACTATAAATAGAACTGCCAGATAAAATAGAAGGACATTATTTAGGACATATTTACACTAAAAAATTATTGACTGTGTATCTGAAATGCAATTTTTTTTTTTTTTTTTTGAGACAGAGTCTCACTCTGTTCTCCAGGCTGGAGTGCAGTTTAAAAAAGTCTGTTAGGATCTCACAGTGTGAAATTAAGAACAAAGACAAGCAAAAAACAGGTTTGTCAACAGCTACAGAAACTACAGATCTGTAGAGATAAAGGAACTGAATTTACCCTCTTGCCTGAAATAACTGAAAAGCTAGGAGTAACAATGGTTTTGAAGACATTGAACATCAGGCAGTAAGGGACAATGATGGCCAAGAGATGGGACACAAATGACGCAAGCTCCAAACAAAGGCCAGGGTACAAAGCAGAAAGGGGGACACAGCAGAGGCTGGTAGCTGCCCTAAGTTGAGGAGAGTTTCTCTAAGAGTCTCGGGAGAACAAGCAGCTAGACTTTGCAGGGCAGACAGAGAGAGCTGCAAAGGGTGTTCCCAGACTAAACTGGGAGTGGGGCTGCTATTTCTTGTTACCCAAAAACAAGATGTAGATGAACTGAGGAGGAAGAGAGTTATTTCTGCAACCAGTTACACGGAGAAGGCCTGGAAATTATCACCAGACCAACTCAAAATTACAGTTTTCCAGAGTTTATATACCTTCTAAACTTTATGTCTACATGTAAGTCTGCATTCATCTAAAGACAAAAGTGATTAACTTCTTTTAATCTACAATTAAGGTCTGAGTCCTGAAGACCTTTCCCTGGAGCATCAGTAAATTTACTTAATCTAAATGGGTCCAGGTGCTGGGGTGATTACCCTTGTCTCCTGCTACTCCAGGGAGGTTTCAGGATTCCATCAGACACCCAGGAAACTTGTGTAATCCTAAATGGGTCCTGTTAAGAAATCCTTCATTATTTTGTCACGTTTTAAGGCCCAGGTAAAACTCTTGGTGGACTTTTGTTACATGCTAGCCTTTGTGTAAGGGCCTTGGCTTTTTTAGCTTTTAGTATTTAACCATTCAGTCAGTACTGAAACAGGTGTTACTGAAACCTGGCCTGCCACAGGCTACACTCTGCAGTGGAGTACTGATGAACGCACACACATGGTGGGGCAAATACTCAGGCCAGGGAAAGAACCATCAGACAGGATTAAAGGACAGTTTGCAAAGGTGCAAATAAATACCTGCTGCCACCCACCAGAATGGAAAACCTCTGAATTCACAGGGCATCAGGCACACATATGATTTTGCTTTAGGACTGGAAAAAAATCTAGCCCTAACAAGTTTAAAAGAAAGATCCAAAAGTATTCAACTGGTTCTAAGTAACTTAATCCCATCTCAAGACAAAAGCTCAAGAATACTTACAGAAACACAAAACATCCAGTACCCAGTAAGGTAAAATTCACAATGTGTTACAATATCTTTGGTCTCATTATGTTGCCGAGGCTGGTCTCAAACTCCTGGACTCAAGCGATCTACCCAACCTCAGCCTCCCAAAATGTTGGGATTACAGGTGTGTGCCGCACCCAATGTAACATCATTTTCTTAAGGTATGTTAGAACTCACCTGTAAGTCCGTCTGGGGCTGATGTTTCTCTGTGGGAAGATTTTAAACTCCTTATGGAACTTGTTTAATCAGCCAAAATACTCTTAAAGAATTTGGTCGAGAAAATTGAGCCTCTTGCCCTAACAATCAGTAGGACTTACTATTTACAATGACGACAGTGTGGCACAGGAACAAAGGAAATGACAGATGAAACAAACATCTCTGAGCCCAGAAACACTCATACTTGATATATAAAGACCTGTGGGAGATTACTGAAGAAAAGATTACTATTCAATAAATGGAGGATAACTGATCATCCACTGTGGGGGTGGGGGGAGGCAGAATTAGATACATCTTGCGCGCGCGCACACATGCACACACACACACACACACACACACACACACACACACACACACACACATTCTCAGTCAACACCTAAATGTGAAAAGCAAAACTGTCAGCAGTGACGAACAGGCAAATTTTACAGTAGAGGGAAATGAATGGCAAATGAACATGAAAAATTACTAAGGTCAGGAAAGGAGATCAGGAAAATACGTTAAAACTATGAGATACTTTTTTATATATACTACATTAACAATAAAAACATTGCCAAGGGAAATACTACTAAGAGAATACCATCATTTTGGAAAATACCTGGCATTATTTTGCAAAGTTAAAACTGGCCAACCCTTGACAAGCTAATAACTCCTCTTATGTATAAAATCTCTTGCATATGTGTACCAGGGGACATTCAAAAATGTTTTGAGTGTATTATTTCTACC